CCGCCTCCTTCCCCGGTTCCCGGAGGGGCTCCGGCAGCCGCCGCGACCTCCCTCCCCTCCTTCCCCCTCCATCCCTCCCGCTCCCGGCGGCGGAGAGCGGCGGCTGCGGGCCGGGGAGCGGAGCAGCCCCCCCGGGGGCGGCGGAGAAGCGGAGCTGCCCCTTGTGTCTGTGTCCGTCCATCCGTCCGTCCGTCCCCCCCCCGCTGCTCGGGGACCATGGGATGCTGCACCGGGCGCTGCACCCTCATCTTCCTCTGCACTTTGCAGCTGGTAAGTGGAAACGCTCCGGGAACGGCGGAGAACCGGGGGGTTCGGCTCCCCCAGGACGGGGATGGGAATAAAAAGCCCCCCTCTTTTCCTCCCCCCGCAACCCCCGGTGCCCCCGGGGTCGGCGGAGGCTCCGGTCCCTCCTCAGCTCCGGCGGGGAGGAGGCGGTGGAGGGATGTCGGGCTGCGCTCTGGGGTGAATTCAATCTCCCTAAATGCCTAAAACTCGGAAAAAAAACCTTCGTTTTTACTTGAAAAAAAAAGTTCTCAATTCATAAGTTTGTGCTTATAAAATACAACTTTAAAAAAAAATTTAAAATCGCGCCGTCAAAGGAGTCCCGGGGGCGATGCTGCAAAGCAAATCAAAGCAAATCAAAACAAATCAAAGCAAATCAAAGCAAACTTTCTGGGTGCGGAACCCACCGGCACCTTCAGCCTCTGGGTGTCCGGCTGCAATTCAGCCCTGTGTGTCCCCCCCTGTCCCCCTGCACGGGGGGGGCGTCTGAGCTGCCTTGGAAGGAATCGTCCCCAATCTCCTGGGGATGAAGCCGGGGAGCCGGAGCATCCCATCGCTTCAACCCGGGGCTCCGGGGGGCGGGCGAGTCCCGGTGGCGGCGACCAGCCCCCTCCCCGCCAAGCCCTGCCCGTACTCGGGACAGCAGCCTCCGGCGGGGCATTGCCCTTTTAAGCCGTGGGCTCGGGCTGCGCTCTGGGGTGAATTCAATCTCCCTAAATGCCTAAAACTCGGAAAAAAAACCTTCGTTTTTACTTGAAAAAAAAAGTTCTCAATTCATAAGTTTGTGCTTATAAAATACAACTTTAAAAAAAAATTTAAAATCGCGCCGTCAAAGGAGTCCCGGGGGCGATGCTGCAAAACAAATCAAAGCAAATCAAAGCAAATCAAAGCAAAGCAAATCAAAGCAAACTTTCCGGGTGCGGAACCCACCGGCACCTTCAGCCTCTGGGTGTCCGGCTGCAATTCAGCCCTGTGTGTCCCCCCCTGTCCCCCTGCACGGGGGGGGCGTCTGAGCTGCCTTGGAAGGAATCGTCCCCAATCTCCTGGGGATGAAGCTCTTCGGTGGGACGTGCTTATAAATGCATCTATATATTTATTTAGGAATTAACTTCCCCCGTGTGCGGGATGGGCCGTCCCCGGTGGGCACGGGTCCCCGGGACATCCCTGTGTCGGGATAACGGGATGAACAAAGGTCTGGTTGTTCCCCGAGTCCCTGCGCATCCAGCCGGGATCTGGAGGGTCCCCTTCTTGTCAATAGCTAATGGGCTCCAGGGCTCCTCCAACCTTAAAAAGGAAATGACAGCATCTAGGGCTTTAATTTCATTTGCTTCTTCCAAATTTGCTTTGTTTTGGAGCGTTGGCAGCCCGCAGGGTAGGGCAGGCTTCCTGCGGAGTTCTCTGGAACAGCGGGCGAGTGCCAAGGGGTGACTTTTTGGGGAAACTCTTCGGTTTTTTTGGAGTTGCCGACTGCGACAGCGCGGTGGGTTTTCCCCCCAAAAAAGGGACTGCGAGTGGGCACTGCGCTGAAGGTGGGAGAGGAAAAAAAATGGGAACCTGGTGGTTTTCCAATGTAAACCATCAGCCTGAGGTTGAAGGGGAAGGGGGTGAGGGTGCGAGGCTGGTAACTCTGAGGATGAGCGCGGTCGGAAGCCGCGGAGGGAAGATTTGACTCGTAGTTGAACAAAACACGGAGTAGAAGTGCTGGGGTTTTCTTGCACAAAAGCGTCTCCCGAGGCATATTGATGAGGGAGCTGAATGGCTCAGGGAGAGTATTTAGTCTCCTGGATTATTTCTTTTGATTTTTTCACCCGTGATCACAGAAGAAAGAAGCTGTACCCTGTATTACGTTGGAAATTGGCACCTCAACGCTCGCTGTCTCTGAAACCCATCACTATGTCATCCTGCTTTAAAGCACACTCTCACACACGCTGGAGAAGAGAGGGAAAAAAAAAAAAAAGAATAAGAAAGAGAAAAAGCCCTGAGCTGCTGGTGCTGTTCTTATTTCTGACAAGCGTGGGAGTTTTCTCGTATCCAAGATACAGGGACAAAGAACCCCCAGCATTTTATTTTCCTTAAGACCCTCCTCCTCGAAGAAAAGAATCAGTTTGGCTCATTCTTAAGCAAGTTTGGATGCCTCAGCCCTAGCGATTTCCCAGGGCACTTGCTGGGTGAATTGGGAGAGCTGGAAAAATGTGAACTATGGTGAGGGAATTCCTGGAGCTGGGCTCTGATGGGGGGGAGGGCAGGAGATCCTGGCTGCTTCCCAGCAAGTGCTTGGGTGAGGGTGAGATCCAGCCCGGTGCTTTTTTTATATTTTTATTTATTTTTATATTTTTAAGCAAACTTTGTCTGTAAATCATCACCTCCCTTCTACATCAGCCCGGCCGTGCGACCTGCGGGACTCGCTGCTGCTCAGGGGGGGTTCAGACAAAACACTGAAGGGATGAGGCCAAGATCATCAATAAATTATAACAATGTGAACTTCCTTTGTTCCTCCCGTGTCTCTGCTCTGCTTCATTTGATACTTTGAACCCTTCACACTCTTCCCTCTACGTTGCCAAGCTCCGTGTCTCCCACTGGTGAAGTCTCCCAGGGGTGAAATCCTGGCTCCTCCGTGGCCCGTGGAGGTTTTGCCTCTGACTTAAACGGGGGGAGGATTTCAGGGCTGGGATTTCCCCCTGCACTTTTGCAGCACACCCCTGTCTTCCTTCACACGTTCTCATTTCTCTTCCTCAAGGCTTCGCCGGGGCTTTTTAGAAAGGATGAACGGAAACACAAAACACCCCCACACCCACAAAACCCCCAAAATCAGATGAGGAGTTGGAGTTGCAGTGCTTCGCAGAGATTGTTTGATTATCAGGTGTAAGCAGTTGAGCGAGCGTGTGGGGAAGTATTTGGACGCGGCAGCCTAAATGTTTCCCTAAAAAAAAAGGAAAAAAAAAAGACAGAAAACAAACATATTCATCATTGCAGTGTGTGTTCCCAAAGAAAAAGTTTGCCAGTCAGAGGGCAGAACAACGTGTGAATTGAAGGAGCTGCTACACAATGAGAATACCAACTAGAGCTTCAGTGTGTCCCCCCCGGGCTGAGCACTGGTGGAGGAGATGGAGGAGGAGGAGGAG